CTTTCTTTCTTTCTTTCTTCCTTTCTTTCTTTTTTCTTTCTTATTTCCTTCCTTCCTTCCTTCCTTCCTTAATCCTTCCTTCTCATTTCATTTTTCTTCAAAAAGATCATCAAACGCGCGTCATTCTTAGCTGTCCGTTATACTTATTCCTTCGAAAGCTATATTTTAAGAATAATTCCTCGTGAAGTTCACATACGTGTCATTAATACTATTCGCGCCAGGAAAAAATTCATTTTACTTTACCATACTTAAATCTTCCTTACAAAACTTCACTTTATTTCCGGGTAGCATGTAACAATTCTGTAAGTACTTAGGCTCCAAATACATTATCTTCGAGGTATTCATCTAACTTTAAGCCATATATTTTGTCTTTGACATGTATTTCAGACAAGCACTTCCAGCGTTAGAATGAATTATTACGCTTCCCACTACACATCAGACAATGTTGTCTCTCAGAACCAAAAATGTAAATAGTTCCACGCTATATTTCATCGTTATCAAATGATAACATCTTAGATAAACATAAATTCAAAAAACAAAAACGATAGAAAAAAGGCATAGCATCAGGTTTAGGGTTGCATCCGAGAAGAAAATTCTTTGTCATTCTGATTATATTTTCCAATTTTGTTTTACAATATATCCTGCATTTCCTCAATCAAAAGGTCGTAAAAGTTTATTATTAATTGGCGTTGCTTAAAAGGATTCTAGTTTGCAAATATTAGTTTAGCAGTTGAAATACAAAAGAGAGAAAGATAGATAAAAAATTTTTGTTAGCTTGAGAGCTTTGGTTGTAAGGAAGGAAGCATCTCTTTAGGAGTAACGCGAGACAGCCCGTGAGTGATTCCGTTATATCATATAACAATATCTATTGTGTCATACGTCCCCCGATAATGAGATATAAGTGAGTTTGAGTGAGCTTTTTTTGCATTTAGTAACGATCGACTCCATGAGGATCTGAACTCCTGATAGACAAAGGAAGGCTAACTGGATTTTTTTCGTCTTCCCTTCGTAGGCATTGTTCAGTTCACTATCGTGGTAAGATTTCAACCTTTTTTGAGCCTTTATTTTCGTGACAAATGCTATCGATATTGAATGCACTTACACGCTATAATGAACATTTTCACGAAATACAGATGAAAAGATATATCAATGGGCTGGGAATCTATATATACGAAAAAGATTCGATACAAAAAAAAAAAAAAACTGACAAAGAAGGTAGAGTCAGGAATGAGGTATTAGGGCTGAGCAGATTTTTTTCTTTTTTCTTTATCAAGTATGTGCGTCTTCAGGCTTCTTTTCTCTTCTCTTCTTTTTTCAGTTCTTTTCTCTTCTTCTTCTTCTCTCTCTCTCTCTTTCTCTCGCTCTTTTTTCCCTTTCTTTTCAATCTCTCTATCTTCCTTCTTTTTGTACACTGAGGTTTCCAATAACTACGTCAGTGCCTTCACTATAGTATAAATAACAATAATGATTTAGATTTAATCACACATTTTATTTGAAAAGCAATTTGAACTTCATTGATTCAATGTATCACAACCATTCATCGTTACAATGGAAACTGATTATACTAAGTTTTACAGCGTAGTAGTGAACCGTGATTAAAACATAGATTGAGACGAAAATTCATAGCAACTTTTATTTATCTAAAGCAAATAGCTTTCAAAAGTAGTAGTGTATGACAAAAGATTTTAACTATCGGTTCGATTTTTTTCTATAGTCTTTCTCGTTCTTTATTCTAAGTTATCAAGTTCTTTTTGTATTCAAAATCACTTCTCATTCGAGAATTTTTCGTACCTTCAACCTGTATTTCTATTCGAAATTCACTTATAACTGAAGACTATAAAAAAAGAACTCAGTACACAAGTGCACTTTTTTATTTACTCTTTTCGTTTGTTTACCATCGTATTAACAATACATTTTTCACTAATACAAATAATAATACAAATACAAAAATAATGAAACAAATCAGTTACAAAACAAAACCTCAATTGAATACTCAAATATATGCAGTTGCCGAACTCGTTTTACAAAAGCTTCGTTGAGGAAATTTACTGTCATACGACGCGTTGCATGCCTACGGCGTCATCTATCTTTGCACTCCGATAAACCCGGAGTTCAAATAGCAAAGATTCGTTTAAAATATTGAGAACTAAATGTTTATTTAATATTTCAACAAGATAATTGCTATCTAAATCTGTAGAGTGCACACCATATATCCAAAGTTAACTAACAAAATCGTACAAATTAGGGCGACGTTTTGTAGGTCTACGCCGGTTTATTGAACTTACTAGACCTCACTGATTTATGTAAATTCGTGAAATTTCTTATATTAAAAAGTTTTTCACAGCACGGATATATGGGATGCACTCTATTAATAATTTTATGTGAGTATAATAAATTTATCCAGTCGAGCTGCAATTTCTGTTATTCTTTTCTTACGAACGAGTAATATCCGTCGAAACGTCAGTATAGCTCAAACTCTTTTACACGATGTAAGCTTCCTTCTTATTGAAATGTTATTTTTGTCGTATTCATCACACCAACGCAGTCCTAACTAGTAATCGCTATTTTTTGCAGTTTTGCAATTTACAAATGAGTTTTTGTCATTTATTATTATTGTTTTATATTTAGCCCAGTAAAATGTATGTCGTATATCAATAATGGACATCTATCTAGTTTTATTCTCCCACGCTTTGTATCTTGTAGCTTAGTTACATGGACGGTCTACAAACATGCTTGACATATTTATTTATTTATTCATTTCTTCCTTCCTTTCTTCCTTCCTTCCTTCCTTCCTTTCTTCGTTGATTTATTCATTCATTCATTCATTTATTCGTTTATTTTATTGATTTATTTATTCATTCATTCATTCGTTCGTTCATTTATTCGTTTATTTTATTGATTGATTGATTTATTCATTCATTCATTTATTCGTTTATCTTATTGATTTATTTATTGCAAGTCATATATTTGTATGTCATAATTGCCTAGAATAGCAGTTTATTTTACGAAAGACAACTAAGCGCATTCGAAGTTTATCCATCAAAGCTGCATGTGTCTTACTGAACACAACCTAAAAGTTCGAAAAAATCAAGTCGTAGAGAGTAACTTTATTGTAGCAATATCTATAAACAGTCTTTCGGGAAACCGTACGGTAATTCGAACCACTTAAATTCGGGGACTATCCGTTTTCACGTTTCACGTGTGGTTTATAACGAATCACGTACGAACCATGACTCGTACATCACGCGAAAATCGTTACTGAAGCAATATAAGAACGTCGGTAAGAGTAAGTAAAAGTTTATTTGGCATCTCATACATAATATGTTACATCGATTGAACTCCAAATAAACATTCGCATTAGCGTGCTTGAACGAGAATAATAGAATAGAATAATATAAACTGAATGATATAGCGGTTTGTCAATAATGGTGATGATGATGATGACATCTGTTGATAATGATGATGATGGCTATGACATATAATGATGATGATGACATCTGATTATGATGATGGCGATGACATCGGATGAAGGTGATGATGATGATGGTGGTGATGATAACGATGATAATGGTGATGATAACGATAATGATGGTGATGATGGGGATGACATCTAATAATGGTGATATCTGATGATGGTGATGGTGATGATAACGATGCTTATGATGATGAAGGTAATGACATCTAATGATGGTGATGACGTTTGATGATGGCGATAGTGGAGATTACGATGATGATTGTGATGACGTCTGATAATAAGAATGATGATGATGGCGATAAAATCTGATGATGATGGCGATGATGATAATAGCAGAGCTCCCGCGCGAGCGGAGCACCATACTTAAGAAAAAATGATAAACCATCGAGTTGATTTTTCATGGCTTGGCTGACGTCACTTCCGTCCGTCCGTCCGTCCGTGTACACGACACAGGAATCCCGCTTGATGTCAAAGCAAAACTACTCACAAAATGCGGCTCTCAAATGCACAGAAAAATTGCTTTAGGGCAAGTTACTAGACCAAAATAAATTAAGAAAATACTTTCATGTAGTCAAAGACGGAACAAGAAGTGTTCTTCAAGAATTCAGGTGTGTGTTTTTTAACAAACAATCGTATATATATATTTTTTTGACAAGTATTTTTCTCGACGAATTGACAAATCAAAGACTTTCTCTCAAAACTTTTAATATTTCTATATATAAGCTTAAATCATTTTAATGCTGGAGGAAATATAACACGGAGAGCATATTACGACAACAAATATTCGTCCTTTATTTAGCTTTGTAAATCTTTAACGATTCGGTTGTTTTTAACCAACTATCGTATGTTTTTCGTTCAAGAAAAATGCAGCTTTGTTCGTCTCCTATCGCGGGGTGTTATCGGCAAAACAAAGAAGACTTTCATTCAACAATTTTATATCTTTCTACAGATAATTTATTCAATTATTGAATGAAATATAAATTTTTACCAAACCTTCAACTGTTTATTAAGCTGTTCGAGCAAGTATGATTATAAAAATGAGCTTAAATTTGTGTTGTTGAGAGATATTATTGTATAAAGACAGACTTTCACTTCAAGAAGCTAAAAAATATTCAAAAATATTTACAAACGCCAATTTACTGACAAAGAAATTAGTCATTTTGTATTTTGCATTGCCTTTTGCATTATTTTCTATTTTGTCTCAGTTGTTCTTGTCAAGTTTAAATGAATGTAAGCTTTGTTTTTGGAGAACTGTAAAAGACCTAATTAAGGAAACCTTATTTTCTGCTCACCTTCACCAGTTTTCAAGTCTGTTTTTCAGTCTTGATTTGTCCTAAATCTCCAGTGAGATTTTCGATTTCAATGAAAGACATCCGAGGTAAATTTCACTAAACCTGATATTGTATTGGATTATCTGTAGTTATCTTTCTTTTTTTTTTTTAAGTAAAAGAGATTCAAAGCCTAAAACTGTCGGCCTTGGAAAACTTTGTCGAAGAATCTTCCAAGAACAAAACTAGCTCATGGGGGTGGGGGTGAGCTGTGTACAAAATTCCTAAGTGGGAGAGTATACTCGCGCAAAAAACAACAAAACAACAAAACAACAACAACAACAAAAAGCAATTTAGTGCATTTCGATTCGATTTCACTGCCGCATGGTTTTTATTATGGGAGAAATTATCTTTGTCTCGAATAAAGAATAATTGAAAATTTTTTCAGTTCCATTCAAATTGTTCTCCCTGTGACTTCCGTATCGGGAGCTCCGCTTTTAGGCAGTGCCTAAATATATATATTAACGATGTTGATTGTGATGACATCTGATAATAAGAAAGATGATGATGGCGATGACGTCTGATGATGTTGGCGATGATGATAATAACGATGTTGATTGTGATGAAATCTGATAAAAAGAATGATGATGATGGCGACGACATCTGATGATGATGGTGATGGTGATCACATCTGGTGATGATGACGATGATGATTCTGATGAGTAGGATGCCTGATGAAATGGTTGGGCAATAATAAATGTAAAAGTTAGAAGGTAAGAATGTTGCCGGAATGTTGCCAAACATGACAATAACGAACATAAATGATATTCTTTCAATCATTAACTTTAATTCCATTTTTTCAATCAGATGTTTTCAGAGAGGAGTCTTAAAGTGTTAACAGCCTTTCTAGTCTTGTGTCTCATAACCCACCTTGTCAGTGCAACCTGCAACAGCAAAGGACAATGCTGGAAAACATCCGAGACCGGACACAGACCTGTAGACTTTCATCTTTGCGGGAGCATGATCCCTTTTGCAGTGAGGGACATTTGTAACATAATGATGGCAGCGTATGGCCACAGGCGACAAAAAGCACGCAAATCTGCAGGTATGCATGAGGACAAAGATAGAGTAGTTTTTGTTTGAATGTATTCAAAAGCTCACGGCAAGAATGTGGACACGGCGAGGCATACGGCGGACATTTTTTTTTTCCTTTTTTTTTTCCCTTATTAATGATAATATCTTATTTTTATACCGGGAACGCAACATAGACACGGCGCGGACACGGTCACATCAAGGTCACGGTACTACTAGACCAATCATATTGCGCGAGAAAATTTCATCCAAAATTCTAGAGACATCGAGCTTTTCACAGTCATTTGACAATTGCCCTATATTTATTTCTTTTCAATTGCTTTGCAGGAACAATCGTCTATAAAAACCCCAACAATGCCAAAAAATTCCGCATTGCCAAAAGAAAATTCAACATCGTAGAAGAATGCTGTACCGAAGGCTGTGTAGTCGAGGAAGTGCGGGAGTACTGTTAGACACATGATTCTCCACGTGAGAATGCTCGTGACGTCATCAGCAAGTAACCACATGTTAAACCGTTCGTCTTTCTCGCAAGGCAAATGATGTTAAATAAAACTAAAGAAGCCTATAGGAAAATATTTTTATGGAAATATGTAGATATACATATGTTTGTTAGATGAATATACTGTAGTTGAACTGAGTGACAGGATTGTCATTATTTTGTCTTGGGTAGGAATAAACAAAGAAAGGAAATATTTATTCTGTGGCTTTCTATAGTTAATTCTTGCTGCTGCTGGTGGTGTTGTTGCTGTGTTATTTTTATTATTATTATTGCTACTACTGTTTTCGATGTCTTTTCTGCTGCTGCTGTTGCTGCTACTGTAGCTGATGTTGTTGTTGCTGCTATTGTGTGTCAGTTATTGCTACCGTTATTATCGTTATTAACTGTACGCAAAAAAAACAAAAAAAACGTGCAAGGGTCGAGTCAAAAAAATAAATATCATGAAACCAAAATTCCGGCAACCCCCCATCAATATGGTTATCTAATGGTTCATCCCTAATCTTGCTATTATTTTTATGTGTATATGCTGTAATCAGTTATCAACTGCATGTTTAATGCTAGTTTTCCTTCGGAGGTAACAGTCTAGTGTTACCTTTATAATCTTATTAACATCCCTTTTTCTTTTCCAGTACGTTCACTGCAATTATGTACGGCATGAAAGTCTTTTCGATCCCGCTAGTTATACATCAAGCAAAGATGTTTATACAGGAAGCTCTCATCACCAAGGTGACCCACGGACACGGCAGTATATCTTATTCGATTCATGCATATCCCATGACAATCCTACAAAACAGATTGCCCTAAAGCTGTCAATGCATGGCTTAGAGAATTAAAAGGCCTTAGGCGCCCATAATTCCAGTGAAAAGGGAGAACCCTTATTGGGTTGAATCTTTCAACGTAAACTCTAAGACCCCGTCCGCACTAATGCGTTTTCGAAAGGGTCTGTTTTTGTCTTGCCGAAAACGCATGCATCGATGGTTTTGCGTCCACACCAGCGTTATTTAAAGTGCAAATGAACCCTTTGACAATACATTCAGTACTG